TTCCTTTGCTGGCTTTAATGCAAACGTCATACCTGCAAATCTTTTCTGTTGCCCATGAGGCCCAGCTGAAATACAATGTTTACATCCTATTTCTGACTTTTTTCCAGGACATGGACTACAACAAAATGGCTGAGTCCTCCTTCTTTGGGGACAACTAAAGTGTTAATCTCTTCAGTTGTCCTCAAAGAAGCCTTGGTAGCTGAAGGGTAGCTATGTCCCATATATAATAAGCCATGGCGTAGAAATGGAAACATTAGGAGTATTTGCGAAGCTTCGTTGATGGGGCAAAATAAGAAGTTTTGATGTCCGTATTCAGGACTGACCTGATCATTCCCTTCCCTGTGAAATTAATCAGGCATGTTTCACGAAGCAGCAAACGTTTACCAAAATGCATCATAGAGTAATAGCAGTGAAATGTGTAAAGTCCTCACAGCTGTCTAGTAGATGTATACACGCTTCAGCTACCTGGTGTATTGCAACATGCTTTAATCATGTGTGTTAGCCTTGTGTTGAGATCAGTCAGGCTGGGCTGGGTACACTATATACTACAAGTATTTCTAGTCTTCCTGTTGTGGCATCACCCATCTTTTGTTTTTTTTTTTTTTCTATTTGTATATCACTGTGTGAACCTGTTGGCAGTAACCCTTTGGGTTGTGATGCACGTGTTATAAGACTTCTTACGTTGTCTTATATGTATTTCATTCCACAAGATCATCTTTATATGCATAAAGTATAACTAAAGCCAATTCTGGTTTATATTTAATTTTGGATAGTGGGGAGAAGGACTAGAACACCTGTTAGGTTTTTTGTTTTTTTTTTGCTTTTTATTTTTGTTTTTTTTTTTTTAAATTTGGTTTATTCAAGATGATGTGTACAGATAGAGAGCATGCTAACATTAAAAGCAGTACAGAGTCGTAAGCAATATCAAGCAGTATGAGAAATCTAATATGGAGACATTCTGCAACATCACATGGCATGTATACACATATTTCTTGAACACAAAATACAAGAAAAGGCAAACCAAAGACACAAACTAAAAGAAGTAAAAACTGTCCTAGTACAATAGTCCTTATATCTGTGAACTACAGTTGCTCGCCTGTGCTATTGTTCGTATAGGAAAAAGCGAAAACCTTATTACCCCAAATGGCCCAGCCTGCCACACCCTTGGTCCTCCATTACTTAGGAGTATAGTCATGGGTCTCCAAACATAGGGCGAGTTTGCTGTCCATCAGACTTTTGAGGTGCTGGACTGTGTCAGTGGGAGGGAAATAGTGCCACATCAATGGTGTCAGTGGGAGGAATAGTGTCTTTTCATTGGTGTCATTCTGAGGAATTGTGCCCTACTGTTGGTGTCCTTGGGGGGGAAATGGTGCTCCATCGTTGGTGTTGGTGGCAGAAATAGTGCCCCATCATTGGTGTCAGTGGTAGGAATAGGCTTTCATTGTTGGTGTCAGTGGGGGAAAATAGTGCCCCATCAATGTTGTCAGTGGGAGGAATAGTGCCCCATCGTTGGTGTCAATGGGAGAAATAGTGCCCCATCATTGGTGTCAGTGGTAGGAATAGGCTTTCATTGTTGGTGTCAGTGGGGGAAAATAAATATGTGCCCCATCATTGGTGTCAATGGGAGAAATAGTGATTCATTGTTGATGTCAGTAGCAGTAGTTATGCCCCATTGTTGGTGGGAGGAAAGAAATAGTGTCTTGTATCAGTGGGAGGAAAAGTGCCCCCGAGGGCCGGATAAAGGCAACGAAAGGGTCACATCTGGACCCCGGGCCGCAGTTTGGAGACCACTGTCAGAGTCTGCGCATAAGTGGAGAGTCAGAAATTAAATGAAGGAAATCAATAGTATTTTGTGATTCTATTCAGGGGCCCCAGACTTTAAACAATTTCCCTGGGCACCTCCTCACTTCATACGTTAACTTGTAGAGTGGCAGGTTGTGGCTAATCAATTTTTTCCACAAGCTAACATGGAGGTTATCCTCGCGTGTCCAATCTAAAGCTTTATGTTGCCCTGTTAGTGAGTTTCATCTTCTGTTTGCGCTGTTTACCATAATTACTGAAAGTGAAAGAAAAGCCGTTTTGGGTTGTCACCAGAATAGAAAGAGATGAGAAATATTTCAATAGTGACACTAGTTTGAGGGATCCTGGTGATGACCAGGGATTCTCTCACTTTGGGGAAATTTCCCTCTCACTTCCTGTTGAGGCTATGGGACAGGAAGTGAAGGGAAATTTCCCCAAACTCAGATGTGCAATCTGTGTTTTGGAAAAAAAAACACTTTTGTACTGTGTACATTTTACACAGATGGCAAAAAAAAGGGTTATAACACTCCCTTACTCTGTTCAAAATGAAAACAAGTTTTGCCTTTAGTTCTACTTTAAGATAAAGAGTTACAGAACTGCTAACCATATCACAAGTATTGAATTTTGTACACATTTTTTATTTTCACTATACAACTCTCCATCTCTGGTAAAATCTCTTAATGGATATCTATCTTCTGCTCTTAAAGTGGCTGTAAAGTCTTGCTGATGATTTAACAAAAAAAATGGGGCTCCTTGCAGGTTTAGAAGGTAACTCCATATTTGTGGGGGAAAAAAATTGGCAAATAAATAATATAGTGTTTACAATTGCGACACAAGTCATATTGTAATTCAATATTAACTTTGATCTTTCCTTTTCAATCTGCAGCACTGTAACTTTCTGTAAAATGCAATATGGCTACCTGTAGGTGTTCTGTACACAGATGGTGTACAGAAGGCCCCTTGGAAATGTAATTTCCTGCTTTTGTGATTGGCTGATATTCCCAGAAGTCTGCCCAAGATAAGAATCAGATTTTGAGCATCCCCTGCAACAAAAATGGCAGTTTTGGTGTGATACTCCCAAAGGGAAATCCCGTATAAAGGGATGCAGATCCTGCCACTTTCCTCATTAGAGCCCTGCAGGTGCATCAGCTGATGGAGAATTATAAAAACCACTCCCATACAGATTCACATTGCACATGACACAGACAAACGCCTATTTCTCCAGAATAATGAAAGGTAGGAATCTGCAACAAATTGTGTTAAAACCCCTGCAATCTATATTAATCACCCAAAGGGGAATGTTTTTTCTCAACAAAAGTGGAGTTACTCTTTAAGTCATGATGTACAAGTATGCACTGTATACACATTCAGAATTTTGTGGTTTTAATTTTTTTCCCTAACTATACTTTCTTCTCCTGTCCCTAGCAATGTCTTTATTGAGTCTCCTTACACAGGTACACTATATTGGCAAAAGTATTAGGACACTTGCCTCTTCACGCAAATGAACTTTAGTGGCATCCCAGTCTTAGTCCGTAGGATTTAGTATTGAGTTGGCCCCCCGCCCTCTGCAGCTATAACAGCTTCAACTCTTCTGGGAAGGCTGTCCACAAGGTTTAGGAGTGTCTATGGGAAGGTTTGATCATTCTTCCAGAAGTGCATTTGTGAGGTCAGGCACTGATGTCAGACGAGAAGGCCTGGCTCACAGTCTCCGCTCTAATTCATCCCAAAGGTGTTCTATCAGGTTGGGGCAAGTCAAGTTCCTCCACCCCAAACTAGGTCATCCATGTCTTTATGGACCTTGCTTTGTACACTGGTGCGCAGTCATGTTGTAAGGAAGAAAAGGGCCATCCCCGAACTTTTCCTACAAAGTTGGGATCGTGCAATTGTTCAAAATGTCTTGGTATGCTGACGCCTTAAGATTTCCCTTCACTGGAACTAGGGGGCCAAGCCCAACCCTTGAAAAACATCCCCACACCATAATCCTCCCTCCACCAAAGTTTACACTTGGCACAATGCAGTCAGGCAAGTACCGTTCTCCTGGCAACCACCAAACCTAGACATGTCCATCGGATTGACAGACAGAGAAGTGTGTTTCTTCACTCCAGAGAACACGCCTCCACTGCTCTAGAGTCCAGTGGCGGCGTGCTTTACACCACTGCATCCAATGCTTTACATTGCACTTGGTGATGTAAGGCTTGGATTCAGCTGCTCGGCCATGGAAGTCCATTCCATGAGCTCTCTACACACTGTTGTGCTAATCTGAAAGCCAAACGAAGTTTAGAGGTCTTTAGCTATTGACACTACAGACAGTTGGGACTTCTGCGCACTGTGCGCTTCAGCATGCACTGATCCCGCTCTGTCATTTTACGTGGCCTTCCACTTCATGGCTGAGTTGCTGTTGTTCCCAGTTGCTTCCACTTTGTTATAATACCACTAACAGTTGACTGTGGAATATTTAGTAGTAAGGAAATTTCACGGATGGACTTATTGCACAGGTGACAACCTATCACGGTACCACGCTTGAATTCACTGAGCTCCTGAGAGCGACCCATTCTTTCACAAATGTTTGTAGAAGCAGTCTGCATGCCTAGGTGCTTGATTTTATACACCTGTGGCCATGGAGGTGATTGGAACACCTGAATCCAATGATTTGGAGGGGTGTCCCAATACTTTTGGCAATACAGTGTATGTTCTGAAGAGAGCTTCATTTGCTGACTTGCCTTTGAGTAACAGGTCAGCCTGTCACTGAATTCTAGCACATGGCTACATCTACAATTGAGGATCGATAAAGTTTATTCCACAAAAAAATCTTGTACTAATTGTAGTAAAAAGTAGGGTTTATGATACTGCAGAGGACATACAAATTTCAAGCAAGTGCTCATAGGACATATAGTCCAACCATGAAGGGTAGGAGGAGAGAATGTGTGCACACTCCCAGGCTGGAAGTTAGGGAAAGTGCTGTACAAGGAAAAAAAGAGCCAAGGCAGATGAAGAAAGGTACATTAAACATTTTTGAAAATCATGCTTTCATTGAACATGGTGAATGTATTCTAATAGAGAAGGAGTTGCATTACTGAACCGGCTTTTGGGGTTGTAGATATTATGTACCGTATTTTTCGCTCCATAAGACGCACCTGACCATAAGACGCACCTAGGTTTTAGAGGCAGAAAACAGGAAAAAAAAATTCTGAACTAATGGACTGCAGACATAGTACAGGAGATGACCAGAGACTGCGGACAGCACAGGGATGACCAGAGACTGTGGACAGTACAGGGATGACCAGAGACTGCGGACAGCACAGGAGACGACTGCTGACCTTTGGGGAGGGGGGGGAGCGGGTACCTGAATTTGACAGATACCCGCTCCCACTTCCGCAGAGTTGTTCTTTGATCTTACCTGTTCCTCTATCCAGCGGCGCGCTGTCTTCCCGGCTTCTGTAATGGCGCTCGGCATGACAGCCGGGTGCCCTGGCACCCGGCTGTCAAGCCTACACTACAGAAGCCGGGAAGACAGCGCGCCGCTGGATAGAGGAACAGGTAAGGTCAAAGAACAACTCCGCGGAAGTAAGAGCGGGTACCTGTCAAATTCAGGTACCCGCTCCCCACCTCCCCAAAGGTCAGCAGTCATCTCCATAAGGTCCCGCTGCAGAGCTGAGCGGCCGGCCCAATATTCTGACACGGCGGCGGAGGAAATACCGGACCGGCTCCATAAGACGCACTAACATTTTCCCCCCTTTTTTGGGGGGAAAAAAGTGCGTCTTTATGGAGCGAAAAATACGGTAAATCACTAGAATTACTGTACAGTTACACATTTTTTGGCAGGTATAATGGTAAATATGCATTTAAATTAATACTGTACTAAGGAGGCTGAGATTACCATTGCTGGTCTTGATTTCTAAAAATATTAGTTCTCTGGCTGGTGTGCTAATGTTGTTACTTCAGTGGTTTTCATGTTTATTATTATTATACAGGATTTATATAGCGCCAACAGTTTGCTCAGCGCTTTGCAAAATTAAGGAATAAATGTTAAGGGTTTAGATCAAGTTTTTGGTGAATTTGCTCCTTGTTCCAGGTCACTGCCCAAGAATGTGGAACCAGTTGCCTTCAGAAGTCGCCTAATTAGTAAAGTACACCTGTGTGTAATTTAACCACTTGCCATCCTGAGGATTTACCCCTCCCCCCTTCCTGACCAGGCCTTTTTTTTGCTATTCGGCACTGCACTATTTCAACTGGTAATTGCGCGGTCATGCAATGCTGTATATAAATGACATTTATGTCTTTTTTTTCACACAAATAGAGCTTTCTTTCGGTGGTATTTGGTGGTATTTTTTACTTTCGGCTATAAAAAATATATAGTAAACTCAAAGTTAGTCATAAATTTAGGTCAAAATGTATTCTGCTGTTACCATGTCTTTGGTAAAAAAAAAAAATACCAATAAGTGTATATTGATTGCTTTGTGTGAAAGTTATAGTGTCAACAAACTATGGTATAGATACTGCAATTTACGCTATTTTTTGCTATACTAGTTTAAGTGACAATTGCACAGTCATGCAATACTGTACATAAATGACATTTATGCCCTTTTTTTCACACAAATAGAGCTTTCTTTCGGTGGTATTTGATCACCTATGAGCTTATTTGTCACGCTATAAACAAAAAAAGACTGAAAAGTTTGAAAAAAACTATATTTTTTTACTTTTGGCTATAAAAAATATATAGTAAACTCAATGTTAGTCATACATTTAGGCCAAAATGTATTCTGCTACATGTTTTTGGTAAAAAAAAAAATCCCAATAAGTATATTGATTGCTTTGTGTGAAAGTTATAGCATCTACAAACTATAGTATAGATAATGGAATTTACACAGCTTTTACTTTCTGACTGCCCATCACATTCTTGAGGTGTTAAAATACTAGGATAGTACAAACACCCCCAAATGACCCCTTTTCGAAAAGTAGACACCCTAAGCTATCTGTTGAGAGGCATGTTGAGTCCATGGAAGATTTAGTTTTTGGAAAATGACACAAACATTTTTTTTTTTTTTTTACAAATAGCTGTCACTTAAATTATATGTTGCTCACACAAGCCATGGGTATATGTGGAATTACACCCCAAAATACATTCTGCTACTTCTCCCGTGTATGGGGATACCACATGTGTGAGACTTTTGGTAGCCTAGCCACATACAGGAGCCTGAAAATGACCTCTTTGAAAGCCTGAAGGTGCGTAACTTCCTCATGTCACTTTGTCCCTACCTATCACAGTTTCGGAGGCCCTGACCAAACCCCCCCCCCCCAAATGACCCCCTGTCTATAAAGTAGACACCCCAAAGAGTTTAAAAAGAGGCATGGTGAGTATTTTGCAGATCTTATTTTTTTCTCATAAGGTTTTGAATTATAAAAAAAGAAAAGAAAAAATGTCTGTTTTCTTTCTTCATTTTCTAAAAACTTGTAGCAACAAACGAGATCTGCAGAATACGCCCCATGCTTCTTATCAAATTCCTTGGGGTGTCTACTTTCCAAAAAGGGGTCATTTGGGGGGTTTGGTGCTATCCTGGCATTTCAGGGCCTCTGAAACTGTGATAGGTAAGGAAGTGTAATGAGGAAATAAAGCTCTTTAAAAGCCTGAAGGTGCTTATTGGATTTTGGGGTCCTGCACTTGGATAGACTGCCAAAAAGTCTCTCAGACGTGGTATCCCCATACTCGGGGGAAGTAGCAGAATGTATTTTGGGGAGTAATTCCACATATACCCATGGCATGTGTGAGCAATAAATCATTTAAGTGACAATTTTGTGTGTAAAAAAAAAAAAAAAAAAAAGTTTTTTTTTTGTCATTTTCCAAAAACTTGTGGTTAAAAAATAAATTCTTCTATTGACTCAACATGCCTCTCGGCAAATAGTTTGGAGTGTCTACTTTCCAAAAAGGGGTCATTTTGCCCAACATTTGAAGTTTATGCCACACATCACTCTTCTAACCACCTGAACACCAAGCCTTTTCTGACACTTTGTTCAAAATCAGTTTTTTTTGCTAGGAAATTATTTTGACCCCCCAAACATATTTTTTTTAATGCAGACAGCCTAATGAATAAAATGGTGGGTGCTGCAATTCTTTACGTCACACAGTACTCGCACAGCGATTTTTTTTTCAAAGGCAAATTTTTGGAAAAAAAACAAACAAACTCTTTTTTACTTTTAATGCACAAAACACAATATATTGGCCAATTTGGTAAGATATAAAAGATGATGGTATGCCGTGTAAATAGATACCAAACATGACATGCTTTAATACTGCACACACCCGTGCAATGGCGGCAAACTGCATTCATTTTTAATATCTATAGGCAACGCTTTAAAAGCCTTTACAAGCTACCATTTTAGAGTTACAGAGGAGTTCTAATACTAGAATTACTGCCCTTGATCTGATGTTCGCGGCGATACCTCACATGCATAAACGAGTCGGTGCTGCAGCTGAATGACATTCCTGCAAAGAAAACAGCAATGGTTAACAATAAAACAGTAAAATTGTAACAGTAGAACAGTAACAACAACAAAAAAACTATTTTTGTCATTTAAAATTTTTGGGTGGATTTGTATTTTTTGTTTTTTTTTCTTTTGTAAACCTTAACTTTTTAAAACAGATTGTAGGGTCTCTCAAAATGCAATAGCCAGTTTCCTGCCTACCTAACATCTTTCGAAACCCTGTGTAAATATGTCTTGAACTGTGCCATGCTGTACCCTATACTAATACGCCACTAGTGTGTGGTAGTGACGGAAGCAGTCCTTGAGGCAGAGGCCAGAACAGGAGGGACAAAAACAGTGGGTGTCATGCCTAATTCCATGTCTGCTACAGACACATCTTTTTTGGGGTGTCCTTTGGGTTGGGGTTCCAGGAATGCTATTGGGAAAATGCCTCTCCTGCAGCCGGCTAACTGCATCTGTGTTCGGGTTTGGGCCACAGCACCTTCTGGATACAAAAGGGCCGTGATAATCTCTTCCTGGAATTTTAGGAAGGATCCACTTCGTCCAGTTGCTTTGTAAAAAACAAAAGCATTATATAAAGCCAATTGAAATAAATAAACAGACACTTTTTTGTACCAGCGTCTGGCTTTTCCGCATACTAAGTACGGCTTCATCATCTGGTCATTGAAGTCCACCCCTCGCATGTTAAGGTTATAGTCGTGGATGCAGATGGGCTTCTCAACAACACCAGCTGCCATAGAAATTTGGATGGTCGTGTCTGCGTGAATTGAAGACAGGACGAAAACATTCTGTTTGTCCTTCCACTTCACTGCTAGCAATTCCTCATTTCTCAAGCAGGCTTTTTCCCCCTTTCTAAGACTGGTATTTACAAGCCATTGAGGAAAGCTCCAGCTTTTAGGTCGCACGGTGCCACATGCGTGAATTCCAAGATTGTACAAATGTCTACATAGTGGCACGCTTGAATAAAAATTGTCCACATATAAGTAGCACTCCATATGGAAATAGCATGGCACAAAGTCCCAAACTATCTTCCACTGCTCCCCATGTAGTCTGGGCATCCGGGGGGGCTCCACATGACTATCTTTTCCCACGTAAATCCAAAACTTATATGTATATAGTCTGTTTCTCTCTCACAGGTCTTATACATCTTGACCCCATATCTGGCATGCTTGCTGGGGAGAAATTGTTTGAATGCAAGACGGTCAGAGAAATTGAGGGACTCAGCAACGCAGATGTTTTGCTGGGGAGTATAGACATCTGCAAATTTTTGGTTAAGGTGATTTACAAGGGGCCAAATTTCGTGGAGCCGGTCAAATTCAGGGGCACCCCAATGACGACAGAGTGTGCTGTCGTTTTGAAATGCATAACAGGCATTCTAATCTCATATCTGTACTTGGTCATGGCAGCAGAGTACACGGGCATATGATGATAATTGGGTCTGTGGACCAATACAACCGCAATTCTTTTTTTTTTTTTTTTAGTAATGCCCATGTTGAGGGTTAGGCCAAAAAAACTTTAAATTTGGAAACCGTAATGGGTTTCCATGCAAATGGTTTGGCAAGGTTTTGAATTTGGGTTGACGGCGAGAAACTGTTGTGCATATAAATTGCTTTGAGCCACAATCAATGCATATAGATATTGTGTGAAAAACAGCTACAAAAAATCAAGGGGAGTATTTAAATTTGCTGTTTCCACCTGAATTCCGGGTTGGGCAGTGAAAGGGGGGGAAGTACGGGTGCTGCAGAATTTGTGGGCTTCCAATCGGGATTTTCCAGCACGTCTGGAAGGATGCTAGGAACCTGTGTGCGAACACTTGGTGGCTGATGGACACTATTTTGTGCTTGCCACCACACCAGCTTGTACTGCAGTTATGGGACTCACCACGTCACCAAGTGATACTGCAGTGCTGGTATGTGAAGACCAGGATATACTAGGCCATTGGTGCTCGCCAGTTCACCGCAAGGTAGAGCGGCACTAGTACTTGCACTCTGCTGCATATGAGAGTCATCATGCAATTGTAACATCTCAGCAACCTGGGAACAGGGTCATGTATGCCTGACCTTAGCAGGGACCTCTACTCCATTGTCCGAGCTACCTGTCAGGGTGCCACTGCTGTCTATAGGTTCGTATTCTGAGGCTGATTGTGTCAGGGAGTCTTCCCCTTCGCTCTCACCTGACATGCTCAGAGTCCTGTAGGCCTCTTCACTAGAGTAACTTTCCATTGACATTTTGGCCACTAAATTTATAG